TAGCATCATCTGCTGAATAGGCAAATAATTGTCCAGTATTTGTCATTATGTCTGGAAGCTTAGATAGGTTAAAAACCAAAATGGAATTAATGTATGAAATGCTGTAGGCATTACCTGTGGGTTCCTGTGGAGTGCTGATTCTGTGGTATATTCCCTGAAAATTGACATTTATGGTTTGGGACATAAAATTTCTATGTATCTCCATTAATCCCTACTCTGAATTTGCCAACACATGCAAATGCTGAGCTTACTGGTTACTGTGTTACAGTTTTCTTCTAGGAATCTGGATGCAGGAAAGCTCATTGGGTTCTCTTTTTGTTGTTTTTTTCTGGGGTGTTTGCAACATCGTGTTGTTTTTTTCAGCCTACTGTTAAAAAAATAGTGCCAAGGCTTTTAATTCTTGGTGGGCTTTCAGAATAAAGACTGGGAACAAAATGGGTTTAGATTTTTAACATTGAAACCATTCTTTTTTTTCCTTAAGCTTCTGGAAGTTTTGATCTCCTTGACAACACTGACATCCATCTGCACTTCCCAGCTGGAGCTGTCACAAAAGATGGACCATCTGCTGGTGTTACCATAGTAACCTGTCTTGCTTCACTCTTCAGTGGGCGGCTGGTGTGCTCAGATGTAGCCATGACAGGAGAAATTACACTGAGAGGCCTTGTTCTTCCAGTAAGCATCATTTGAGATAAGAGCTAAGTTGTATTAATTGTCCGTACTCTGGATATAAAATCTGTTTATAGGCACTTAGAAAAGCAGGATCTTGCTGGATCATTCCTTAGCAGCAATCCAGTCTCTTCTGGTGCAGTTGGGAGGCTGATGGAAGCCAGCCTGCTGCAGTACTGTCCCACTCCTCCCTCTGCTTTGCTTTTCAAGATAAAGCCAGCCTTGATGTGGTTTTTGTGGAAAACACATTAAAATGTCTAGTTAGAAAGGAAACCTGGAAGTCTTAAAATTCAAGATGGGTCCAGAATGGGTATTGCAATTTCTAAACATGCTCCCTCAAACTATCAGGACAGAACTATCTTTTTTTTTGAAAAGTTGTTCCTTAAACCTCTCACAGTAACTGTGTGTAAGTTACTCTTGAAACCATCCTCCATACACCTAGTTTTAGATTTTTCTTGTTGTTCCTTGTGTACAGTTTAGCCAAAAGGTGTTTCCATAAAGCTTTTTATGGAAAATAAAGCATGAGGGCAAAGGAAAGTTTTCAAACAAATACAGTTTAAAGTGTCAGTGGAGCCTGGTGCAAGTGATTAGGCAAATATAGGAGTTATCATCCCATACCAAATGATGGAGAGGAGGAGGAGGATGAAGTAGGAAAACAGAGGCAGCATTTTGTGTCCTGCAGAGGAGAGTAAAGCAGGGGTGCCAGGGGGAGGTAGCAGAGGAGGATCTCTGGAGTTTGTTCTGAGGACACTGAGCCTGACAGGACGAGCTGTTGGTTCAGGGTTCTCCTGGGCCCTGCATTAACTGGTGAAAGGTGCCCGAGCTCCCCAGAGTGTCTTCACCAGGGAGTGACCACACTTTGCCTGCTGTTAAAGGTGGGTGCAAAGATCAGGTACCTGTAAATGTTAAACCAGATTTACCTTCTTCCTGAACATTGTCTGGGATCTTGCCATTGTCAGTCACTGAATTCCTCTGAGCAGCTGCCCCTGCTGCTGCCCCAAGTGTGTGCTGGGTGTGCAGCACCTCCAGAGCAGTGGCATCACCGGGGGGATTATGGCCCCTCCTACCTTGCTTGTATTACAGCCCTTTGTGCTATAATACAAGGCTTTGCTCTCCTGTAAAGTATTGTAGAATTACAAGTTTCTTCTGTAAGATGGTCTTTAATTAGGATCAGAAGAGAGTTTAGGGGAAGAAGCTACAGCTGTGATTCGAAGCAAAACTAATTTAACCCCCCTTTTTACATCTCATTACCAGCTCAGCCAGGTGGCTCAATGGAGCAGTGCCTGTTGTTGTAGCACAAAGCATCTCTCTAGTCTTGGAGCAGAGGTTTAAATTTCTGTGCATTTTCTGTTGTACAGCTCAAGTTATTTGTGTGACAGTGCTTCCTTAGGACTTTTTTCCCCTCTAAATCTAACACTGCCTTTTTCTGAAAAGCCTGCTGTTCTAATGCAGGATTTCAGCACACCATATAAAAATGGAGTGAAGGCCACCTTAGTTAAAAAAAATTCCTGAAAAGTAATGACTTTTCCAGTATTGGTACTCTTCTACCTGCACTCCTAGATTAATTTTTCCCTTGTTATTAACTGTTACAGAAAGAATACTGTATCATATTAACATATTTCCCTCATTAAGCACATAATGAGCTACAAATGTGGCTGCATTTTTAATTGCTTTCTTAACTTACTGGGGGAGGCAGAACCTTTCATCAAAATTTAACTCCTGATGTGATGTTACAATAATTCCTGTATTAGATGAGTGTCGCTGGTTTTATATATTTTTTTTTATATATGTTTTTACTTCTTTCCTTTACTAGGTTGGGGGAATTAAAGACAAAGTCCTGGCAGCACACCGAGCTGGCCTGAAGAGAATTATCCTTCCTCAGAGGAACGAGAAGGACCTGGAGGAGATCGCGGTGCACGTGCGGCAGGAGCTGACGTTCGTGCTGGCCACCTGCCTCGACCAGGTCCTCAACGCCGCCTTCGAGGGGGGCTTTGCAGTTAAGCCCAGAGTGGAGCATTTGAACAGTAAACTTTAAGCAGCCAGGCTGAGATTCCTGCTGTATCAGATTCCACGGCTTGTGATCTCTTCCAGCTCCCTGCGTGTGTCAGGTGTAATTAGGAGTTAAACTGGGCTGTCTAAGTGGGGGTGTAAATGCAATCAAAAGGAAAATGTTGCTGCAGCAGTTCACAACCTGAAACCACATTTTAAGGGCTTTCGCTGCTTTTTATCAGCAAAGAATCTTGAAAAAAATACTCATTTCCTGATAAGAGTCAAGCATGAGAAAATTGAAGCTGTTGAGAAAGAATTCTTTGGCATATCTGGAATGTGTGTATGGACGTGGCAGCAGCTGGTCCCATCCTCAGAGAGGTCACACCCACAAAGAGGGAATAATGTGCAATTCTGGGAGAGCTGTATTTTCAAGAAAGGCAGCACGAGAGGCTCATAGATGGGCTTGTGACAAAAAGCAAAACTGATTTAGCAGGAGAATTCACTTATTTAGAGAATAATATTTGTAATAATAACAGTAATGTGCTAAGGAGCAGTAGCATCGGGAAAAATAAGGTTTTTGAAATCTAAAAAACATGCTTAAGGGATTTGAACAGAAGCACTATGGTCTAAATTAAGTTAGTAAGTTCTTTCAGCACTTGCTTCTCGTTTGTAGCAAGGTCACTGCAGACATCATTTTTCAAAGCCCAACACAGGAAGCAATGCCAGAAGTGAAATGTAGGAATTGCTGTGTAAGAAGGGCAGTAACACACGTGAGTTCATGTGTCCTTCCAGCAGCACAGGGGGCGGAGCAAACCTGAAGCCCTGATAAAAAACCTGGTAACATTTTGGAGGGACAGAGTACGAGTCCTTTATTCTTACTGATACAAACAGACTTGATTCTGGGCTGCCTGTGTTTGGGGTTGAGCCTGTGGAAATTAAATCCACTTAAACAATGCCAAGAAAATACTGAATCATTAAAGTGCATTCAGTACTGCACACTGTGAATAATTTATGGTTCAAGAAGTCTGTCAGTCTCCCCTCTCAGTTGATAGCTTTGTCTCTTCTCTTGAACCTCAGGGAAAACTACACTTCAGTGTGTGAGCTGGGCCTTTGGCATTGTTTATACCAGTCAACCCCTGAGCAAACCTCCCCTGTTGTTACATTCTTCTCTTGTTCACTGGTTCTGAAACAAGCTCCAGTGTGCTCTGGAAACACAAACTGTACCAGTGACAACAACCTGTTCTAGAAGCAGCCTATAAATCAAAAGAGTTTGCTTTGCTTTCATTTCCATAGATAACAAAAGCTGATTTATCTGGAACATAATAGTAATATTCAGTGGAAATTTCTGCACCTGTTTACAGAAGATTTCACAGAAGACTTAATCTAATAAAATGGTAAAAAATAAAAATAAAAACCCCTTTTGTGTCACTATTTTAAGAGCTCTACTCTTAAGTCAGTCACCAGACCATGGGCAACACACAGAGTCTCAGAACCTGTTCTGCCTTATAAGAAACTTGCAGGCAAAAAGTGCAGATAAACAACACCCTGGGTAAAACCCCGGGCCAGTATGGTCACGAGTGTGCTGCTGCTTTGCTTCTGATCAAACCAGGAGGGAAAGATCCTTAACCAAACTGAACCCAGCTCCAATAACAATCCTGCACTGTTGGCACTGGGGGCAGCACAGACATGCACAGAATTCCAGCACAGTCTGTTTCTACATGTGGAAAACAAACCTGCATTTATTTTAAAAATAGAAAGGACTATAAAAAAAGAAGTTTCCACCACAGCAAAACAGGGAGTTGCTCCCCAGAAAAGTTAAGCAATGACTTTCTGCCTGACACACCACTCCCATATTAAGTCTTGTCCACATGGACTTCACCTAAAGAGGGGGTGGGTCCATGGCCACTCTGAAGAGAATGCCAGGCACTTACTGCCTGTTTGCTGTTCCTGCTGGCAGAGCTCACACGGTTTTTATTTTGCTGATTTTTTTTTTAAATAAAACTTCTGCATTACCCCCTGTATCAGACACGACAGACACACTCTGGAAGGTGGTAAGAATAACCCTCCATGCAGCAGCAAAGCACTTCTGAAGTAATTTCAATGCACCGGGGATTCTGCTTTGCAGCTGACAGTTAAATGGACCTGATATTAAACGTGGCCCTCAGAAGAATACCCTGAAATAGCCAAAGCTTATCAGAGGAGATAAAAAAAAAAAGCAGTGGTAGCTCCTTTCCTCTGTCCACACTATGAATTGCTACAGAGAGTAAGGATCCCACTAGTGCATTCCTGCTTTAATCACAGTAGCTTTGGAAAGATTCTGGATAAAACAACAGGACAGGCAGCAATACAAAACTGTTCACCTGCTTTAATTTTAAAGCACTACTGCAAACAAGAACTAGCAGGAACTGTCACAACAGAACCCGAATATTTACATCCACATTTGTCAAACATTTTAAGGCTTTCTTTTTAAAGGGCAATGAAAACCACAGAGGTAGTGCAAGCAGACAAATGCAAGGTCTACTGCATTTCATCTTTTAGAGACAAATCTGAATACGCTTTCCCAATACAGCAAAGTAAAACAGCACTTTCTAAAATAAATAGCTAATGTTAAGACAATGCCAGGCTTTAATACACCATTTATTTTAGATAAGGTAGTAAACTGTACAGATTTCTAGTATGTTTTCTTTTTTTCATATATAACAGTGTAGTTGACTTACCAGATCCTCACACTCTTTAGAGGAGATCCACTGAATTAGGCTCCTGATACTTTTGAGGATCTGGGCCTAAGTGTAATTTCTTTAATCATTCCATCTGATGATGGACATTGAGCATTTTATACAGATTTATTTTTAAACACCAAATGGTACTATTTTACATTACAGTAAGTCAGCATACAGTAGTTATGCTATAGCATTTGTCATCTGTAAGACATGAACCAACCTGTCTGACCACACCAGTCAGCTCCTGGAGCTCATTGCAAATGCCACTCTTGAAGTCCCCTTCAGAAGTACAGTCTTGACCTTCAGGCCATCCCAGCCTAGATAAACTCACTGCAGATCAGCACAACAAGGTTCTCAGAGTCACAGTTCTCCTGGGGACACAACCCAAGGCTGAACCCCTCCAGACACAGTGCCCAGCCCTACACACCTGTGCCTGCAGAGCCCCGGCCTCTCCCAGGGCACGTGTCAGGCTGGAGGGAACCCTCGGGTTCTCCCCTGCCTTCCCCTAAAAAAACCAGAGCTGGAGGCAGCTCAGCTGGCAGGAGGACATCAGTCCAGCCAGCCAGGCACCAGTGAGCAGGGGACCCGTGGCCTCCTCTAAAAGATCTGAAGTATTTTGCCAAAAGTCTGTCAAAGACCAGAAGACAAAACAGAGGTAAATGTGACAAGCTTGTTTAGGTGAGAATAATTACTGAATTTAGCAAAATGCAAACAGTTGTATATTCAAAAGAAGAAAAAAAAGCTAGATTGCAGGACTTTTGGAAGCACTTATCTACTGTCACAAGGTACCAGTACATCTTTTAAATTACATCTGTGCACAGGTCAAACAGCCTAAGTATCAAATTTTAAGAGTGAAACTTTTACTACATGAAGCCAACTATTTCTGTAGTACTTTAATAATCCAACCCAATGGATTTTATGTTCCTTACCTGTGGAACTACTTACCTCTTCATGCATCAAAATAATAACGAGTTGTCTTAACAGATCAACTTCTCATAAGAAAGTTAAGACAGTGCACAGTAAATAAACCATATTTTAATGTGTTACAAAAGTATCGATAGCCAGACTACCTCCCCAAGGGGCGTCTGCTAGACTAGCAGATTTCTTTCCAACACTTGAGATGAAGCAGCTTTTCCCCTTTTCTGTCTGTCTCTGTTCTGTAACACAAATGCCACATACAGCTGTGGTTAAGGTTTTCACCTACAGGCAGTCTGCAAAAAGCCCAAACAGAGCCTTTAGGGCTGGTGAAACACCTGCAAGAGATTCATCTGCACTGTCATGTGTATCAGGTCACCATAATGATATACAAAAGTCACTTCCAGACAGTTGCTTTAGTAACAACCAAAAGACACGGAAACAAGAAACTGAGCAAGAGCATCAATGTGTCAAACTTTGAGCTAAAGCAAAAAGCAGAAGCTGGCTGTGTTTTCTTTAATTTGCCAGGTATTCTTTTAATGACAAATATAAAAAGACTGAAAACATCTCACTGCCTGCCTTTTTTTTTTTAAACAAATGGTCTGCTTTTATAATTACAAATACTGTGTAATACAATACCTTCTTTGTACTGCAAACCAACAAATACAAGGATGCAATCAAGTTTCTAAGCATCTCTAAATTTGAAATGTGAATTATTATTTTTTTTAAATTCGGAAAATTCTTAATAATTGTTCATTTTTGTTAGAAGATAACTCAAAGTACAACAACATCTAGGCCTGTTTTTAAAGGAGCTGTCTTTCCTGACACATCTTTGAACATAAGCACTCCTTTCGAGTTCAGTACATTCACAAATAGCTCAATTAAGAACAGTATCACCAATGAATTGACTACTGGAAAGAGACAAAATTTACCAAACATACAGAAATATAAGTTTTACCATAGCAATTATGCATATCAAAAGATGACACCTGTAATTAATTTTAAAAAGATACAAAAAAGAGAAAAACCTGAATTACAGAAAAGAAAGTCATATTTATTTAATGAAAAACTAGAAGTTAATAAAAATTAGCAAATACACAAAAAATATACACAAACAGCAGCAATACTATGTAGTGACTTACAAAGAGGGGGTGGGAGGAGGAGGGGAAGCAGCGGCCAGAGACCAGACCGCTCAACATGGCTTGTCAGTCAAAGGGGGAGGAAAAAAACACAAACAAAAACACGAAACAGTATCCTTTTCAACAGTACAATCAATCTACAAACAAGTTTTTAGAATTATTTTACAACATTTCCTGTAGAATCAATTCTTAATACAAAAGATGCCCATTTTGGGTGTATATATATTTTCAGTGGTTTACTGTTGACTTATTTTAAATATATTAGTTACTACATGCAACTGCTTCCTGTAATTTAACAGCCTTTCCTTTTATTTACCTTCATTTATGTCTACCCTCCATCTACCAAAGAATTTGTCTGACAGTCAAAGATGGTTACCCTAGTTTCTGCTAAATTAAATGCAACGGTTTAAACACTGGCCTGAAGAGGTTTGATTGCCGTTTCAGCACATGGATATAGTTACGTTGATGCCTAAATTGCCGTTTTCTGCAAAGAGCTGTGCAATGCTGGTGTCAAAGACTAGGCAGTCACTATTCATAATGGCTGTTGCAATTCCCTCATGGATGGACCGAGGAGTTGCTTCCCAAGTCAATCGCCGCCTATGCCCATTTAGCTCGAGTCGATAAGCAAAGTTTTCTGCTTGCTTGCGTGTTCCTATCAGCTGTACAATTGCAAAGAACTGCTGGTGACCATCATATTTCTCCTGTTTCTCCAACACTAACATGAAATGGAAGCCAAAACAAGACTGCATCATAACCCAGTCAACAGCACCAGGAAGATTAATGTCCGTAGCCAGGAACACTATATCTTCTCCCTGCAGTGTTGTAATTGACTTGTGTTGATGCATCAGGTGTGGCATCACAGCATCCAGGGAGCCTTGCCATTTACATGAAGCACCGGGACACGGACAAGAATAAGGCCTAAACTCACACAGCTCCTCGTGGTCTGCTTTTTCCGTGTGCGGCAAAGTTATCTCGCAGCCGGAAGAGGCGTATTTACATGGGAATAGTACAGAGTTGGCAACTTTCTCCATAGCCAGGTTACGGATGGAGCCCAGCGGGCCTCGGCAGGTTGGACAGCACGTAAGTTTGGGGCGACAGTTGCTACAAACCAGGTGGCCACTCTGACACTGCAGGATCGGTGGCAGCACATAGTCAAAGCACACGGGACACTCAAAGAGACTGGCCAAGTCATTGTTGGAGGCTGTGGTGCCCGTCAGCGCGGGCACCCGCTGCGACGGTGTGCACTTGGAGGTACCCGTGGGGAGTGCTGTGGCAGTCTGACGGCTCATGTCTGCAACAGAAGAGAGAAAAGAATTAATATCTAACCACCTTGTATTTTCCTCTGCACACAGAATTTCTTCACTTACAAAGAAGCTTCAAGAGAAAAGACAGAAATAAAAGCAAAAAACCCCACGTAACACAAACTGTATTACATGGGTATGTTACGCACAGAGATCAGTTGTGCACATTCGATGCAGACACTTGCATGACACGGAAATTTAACAAGTGAAGAAGTTCTATTAAGTGCTCTGCAGTGGAATTTATCTATTGAAAGCTGCAAGGGAGATAAGTAAAGATATGCTAAAAATAAGTTTGTTGTTGTTGGTTTGCTTTTTTTAATACTGCATTTATGAAATGTTTCACCCAGATCACTTGTGTGTAAGAACTTGGAGCACTATGGAACAATTCTAAGGCTGGATTTTAAGCTGTTGTGTATGACAAACTGGTCATCTTTCATGAAAAAAAAAAGATTTTCTGGAGATGACCTTCTCAGTAATCATATTTACTGTACAACTGTTTTTTAAAAAAGTTGGAAAACACTAGCAAGGCAAAACACAGCTCAGAAAGTTGCTACCCTGCCTTTTTCCCAGGATAGGACAGTGACTCTTCGTTTTCAATACTCTGTTACTGGGCCCACATCTTGTAAAGCACATCTACTGCTTCAGATTCCTGAACTAAACCATTTGTGAGGATACCAGAAAAGAAAAACAAAGCAATTATTTTCTTGAATTTCCTAAGTAAGACAAGAAATAAAAAAGATTAAATCTGAGAGTTAATTTTACCATGTCAGTAACTCAAACATCTGCAGTCCCTTGAAAAGGCCCTGTTAATGAAGTCTTACATTCAGTGGAGCTCCCACTGAAGTTTTTCTTTCTGCTGTCCCCACACAAAGGTGACAAAGGTCTGACAGCTGTCTGACAAACAGCCTGTTTGAGCATTCCTACAGATGTGGTACAAGTACCATATTTGTTAACGTGTTATGGATGCTACACTTTTTGCAACCCCTAACTCTCCTCCTCCTTGTGCAAGAGGAATTACTAGTGCTACCCAAGAAAATAAACGCAGTTCTGAAAAAATAAACATTACCTTTGTAGGTTAAGGACAGTTAGGCAAAACACTACTCAAAGTTGGCCTCTGTTCCACAGTACAATTCTCAGCCACCCTCAGTGCCTCTCTGCGAGTACATTAGCTCTGTATCTGTCACGTACGTATAAAGCTCTCAAAATAAACCTCATCTTTAATCTCCTTGCTATTTGACATGGGAATATTAGGCAATAGGCAAGCTTCCCATATTTAGCATCATTTCACCCACAAACTTACTCATACTTGGACCAGATAACTCAGAGCAGCATACTCTGCATGCTTTTGCAAGACACGCACTGTTCATGGCACAAAGGAGGGGAACTAAGAGATTCCAACTTGCAAAATGACTTATCCCTTGACATTCAAAAGTAATCATAGACAGGCAATTCCAAATTCCTCTACAGAAGCACTTCTCCTTAGTCCAGAGCTAGATAAACATGAGTGTCTAAGATTGGATACTCAGTCACTGATTTTATAAGTCTCACAAGCCCAGTAATAGCATCTTCTCAACTCTTCAAATTCTATTGCTTCATCTCAGGTTTGGTGGTCTAGAAATACCCAATTACCATCTTCAGGAAAAAAAATCCATGCAGTAGTTTTCAGTGCTGGACCTTAACTGATATTATAGAGATATGTCAAGAATATTTGTGTCTTTTGGCCACATTTTCCTACTGTGAAGCATTCCAGTTCAGGTGAAAAAGTTTAGGATGTCTGTGACAAATCAAGAATGTGTTCTGGGGAAGTGATGCTGCCCCAGTGAGGGGATTTGAACAGCAAGGCCTCTGGCAGCTGACAGTGCTGCTGCTTCCCCAGCACCCGCGGGTGGGAGCTCGTGACCCTGCCCTGCTCTGGAACAAACGCACAGGAGCGACTGTACAGGGGAGAACCAACTCAGATCCCGCTGTTCGCCTGGGAATCACAGCCACAGTCACATGTACAATTCTGGAAACGCTTCCCTTCAAATATCGTAACACCCACATTTCAGAAGGCTGTGTGTGCTGGATCTTGCCTGACCCTGTATGTCCTGATCCAGGGATCCCCAGCAACCCGCAGATAACACTGGTGAAAACCACTGCGTCAGACCAGTTCCCTGGGCAGTCTGACGAGCTGGGTGAGCTCGGGTGTCTTTAATTACACCTCTCAGAACCCATGCAACAGTTAAATTAAGCAACCTACAAACTTTGCGAAATACCTTATGCACAGATGCACTTCCCACTTGAGCCTTCTAAGCTCTGGAAGCACTGGAGAACAGGACTGTGTGTTATCACTGTGTGACCAGCCTTCACACACACCTTCCACAGCCGAGCACCTCACACAAGCAGGGAATGAAAATGAGCGGGAACATGTGAACCAAACCACTGAGATGATTAGCATGCAAGGAAAAAGCTGGATAAAGCCATTAACTGTAATTTACCAAGCCTAAACCTGCCCAAAGCCTGCATTTTCATCACTCTTGTTAACACAAAGATGAATAATATATAATAACAGAAAAGTCAGAGAAGTTAATTTTTTATGGCTATGTTAAAAACTACAAGTCAATCACAAGTAAAACTTCTAACAGCGTAATACATTTAAGCCACCAAACTATGAAAACCATACAAACCAAGTGACTTGTTTACAAACCAAGGAAAAACAACTACAGAACTGGAAACAAAATTTAAAGATATTTTTAGTTACAACCCCCTTACTCCCTACATGCAGTATTTGCTATTATGTTATCTATATTTGCACACACTGGGAATAAGTCTCTAAGCAACAGTGATAAACTAAGGCATACTAGGTGTCATTTTCAAGACTATTAGTTCCTTTAACTCAAATTATCCAAAAGATTGCACATATTCGAAAAATCTAACCACGACTAAAACGGGGAAAATGTATTTTAAGATTTCCTAATTGTAAAGCAAGAAGAACTGTCCTTCATGACATCAGAACGCACCGACCTGTTGATAAAAAAGTATTCTCGCCAGTGTTGTGCGGAAGGTGACATGCACAGGCTACCGAGACCTCCCGAGGGAGGCGACTTCACAGCTCCTAAACCCCAGCTTTTAATGCTGCGATAACGCAAGGAAACGTCGCTACCTTTCCCCTTGCAGGCTCTACTCCCCGGCAGACACGCAGACCAGACGCCCTTCCAGGAACACGGCCCGCCGGAGGCGGCTCTGCCCCTCATGTGGCGCGGAGCTCATGGCGTGTGGGGGCAGCACAGCCGCGCTGGGGGCGCGGGCCGGGCCGGGACCCCGCCGAACGCCCCCGGGCCCCGGCGGGCCCCGCGCCGCGCACGGCAGTCACCGCCCCGGGCCCCGCCGGCCCCATCTACGGCCCGGCCCCGCTGCGGCCGCTCCGGCCCCGGTGCCAAAATGGTTCCCCGAGCTTCCCCCGGCACCGCCGGGCCGCGCCCGCCCCGCCCCGCCCGGCCTGTGCCTGCCGGGGGAGGGCCCGGCCCGGCCCCGCCAACAGGGACCCGGCCCCGCCCCGGCACAGCCCACAGGGACCGGGCACAGCCCCGGCCCAGCCCACAGGGACCCGGCCCAGCCCACAGGGACCCGGCCCAGCCCACAGGGACCCGGCCCAGCCCACAGGGACCCGGCCCAGCCCACAGGGACCCGGCCCAGCCCACGGGGACCCGGCCCAGCCCACGGGGACCCGGCCCAGCCCACGGGGACCCGGCTCTGCCCCGGCACCGCGTGTCCCCACAGCCGTGCGCGTTCCGCACACGGAGCTCCCTCTGCACGGCCGGGACCTGACCAACAGCCCCCTGCTCCACGCCGACGGAGCTCATCATCCTCCCTAAAAAATTCTTTAAAAGCTACAGATCCGCTCAAAACTCTTTTAACACGTGAACTTCACTTCCTGCTCTTTCAAGGATACTCCTCAGATGAGCATTTCCCACTGTGGACCTATAAAGTTCTATTCAACAGGAATTTTCTCCATTTGCATAAAGATTATTCAATAAGCAAAAGCCTAATAATCTCAAGGAAAATGTGGCATATTTAAATATTCACACGGATTCTTAAAAAACTTAAACAGTTTAAGGATAAAGGAGCTGAAAACCAAGTCAACACGCTTGCATGATGCACACAGTGGGCTCAGAAGATCTTAGACTTTATGGAATACTGATGTAATGATTATAAGATCATCGAAGTACAACTTTCAGTGGAGGCAACAGAACAACACATTGCAATAATTTGTTTTGGTCACATAAAAAGTAAGGCTACAGTATCAGGGTAGAGAAAATTATCTGTAAAAATGCTTTCTTACTATTTGAAATCCAAGTTCTGTTCAAGGAAGACTTGTATCAGGACTTGAATACATGCCAATAATGCCCAACTACTATAAACAAAAACTACCAATTCAATACAAGGCTTCCTTCAGCCTCATCCCCAAACTTGCAATATCCATCATCCCACCAAGTAAGAGTCAAGAAAGTTTCTGAGTAGAACAGAAAAGCTGAAGAAAATCTGCACAGAAACAGCTTTTGAGAAATTAAGAGCATGTTCTGCAGTGTCTGGAACAAGCCCTGGGCTCTGTCCTGCAGCACAGAGCTGTCCCCAAAGCAACCCCAGGGGTCCTTGGACAGGTTACAGCTAATGCTGCACTTGCTTTGCTCCACTGCAGCAGGGTGTGCAATGCCTGAGGGGAGAGAGCCTGTGGAACCCCGGGCAGGTAACAGAAACACGGACAATGGAAAGACACAACCAATCCACTGTTTGAAAAGCTCTGCAGAGGCTCAGGCCCACGGAGAGCAGTTTCAAGTGAAGTTCACAAAGATGCCGTACTTGACATGCCAGGGAATTAACAACAGTATACAGGACTACACTGATACCCTTTCAGCTTCTCACCTTTCCAAGGTGTTACCTCCAGACACATTCTAGAAATCACATCTCCTGCGCTTCACTGGAATACAGGGCACCTTTGACAAACCCAACT